CTCCACCCGCTTCCCGGCCCCGCCCACGGCCTTCCAGCCTCTCTCCCCACCTTATCCTGGACGGCCCGTCTCCCGGCCCTCGCGGGCCTCCCAGCCCTGAGAGTCCCGCCCCTGGCCCCTCGCCCGGCTCCTCGGCCCAGCCCTCTGGCCTCCCATCCCCAGAGAGCTCCGCCCCTGGCTCACTTCCCCGCCCTCGGCCCCTCACCCGGCTCCGCGGCCCCGCCCCATGCTTCTCTGCAGGGTCCTTTGGCCTCCCTTTCTTAAAGCTGCCTCCTTCTCGGCGCGTCCACGGCTCTGCCTCTTTGTCCCGCTCCCGGGCCTCCGAAGTCACCCTGCCTCCCAAAGCCTCGGTGCCCTATCTCCGTATCCCTCCTTAATGCGCCTTGCGTTTCCCTCTCCTACCCATTAGTTCCCAGTCCTCATGACCTCACCCCTTGAGCTTCACCCTCACACAGCCCCTCTTCTCTCTCCCAAGCCCGGGGTGGTGGCGGGGAGGATCTCGGTGCCCCGCTCCGCCCCGAGTCGCCCCACCCCTCCCTTGCTCCGCATACCCCGCTCTCGGCCTCTGCTCCGCGTGCAGCCAGGGCCGCCCAATCGCCCCTTCGCTCCTCCCCTAAATAGTGTGCCCCGCCTCCAGGGTCTTTGTGGCTCGGCGCTTCGGATAGCTGTGTGATTTGGGGGAAATTACATCCCTTCTTGGAACCTCAGTTTTCTTCTCTGAAAAATGCCAAGTCTAATGCTCACTTGGTTGTGATGTTACGAGGAGGGAACCTTACACGTGCGTGTACCCAATAGGCGCTCAGGAACTGGCTCCCTCTTATCTGGCCTTCTCACCCACACCTTCATTCTTTCTGGGCTCAGTCTCCTGCCTTTCACTCCTCAACCCGGCTCACCAACCCCACCAGGCTAAAGATTGCCAGTCCTCCCCACCCACTATCCTCTGCCTCTTGGGAACCACCTATATGTTTGGGTGGATGAGGGATGGTGTTCAGGATAAAAATCCACTTAGATTTAGTTCTGGAGCCTGAAGTCCTCTGGAAAATATCAGGGAAGCACTGCGGTGAAGAACGGTGGCTTTGGAGTCAGATAGGTCTAAGTCCCCATCCCCGTGCTGCTGTTGACCAGCTGTGTACAGCTGAGTAAATTGCTTGCTTCTCTAAGCCTGAATTTTCCACCTCTTGAAATGGCCTAATGGTATTTCACCCCACTAAGTGACTGAGAGGATTATGTAGTTTGCGTGAAAAAAAAAAACCAAAAACTGAAAAGATATACACTAAAATATTTCCAGCTGAGGATGTTATGAGTAATTTCTTCTTTTAGCTAATCTGTCTATCCTAACATTTTGGTAATGAATTTATACTATTTGTGGAATAGAATTGAAAGTTGGAAAAAAATGTGTACAATCTGGTGGAGGAGACAGGACCAATAGGCTGTGAAATACAACTCTGGTTCACCCCTCAGTCACCCTTCAACCCACTCTAGCCTGTTTTCAGCCCGAACTACTGCAAACAGTAATTTCATTTTTTGAAAAAGGACCATTTTCCTCGGTGGTCCTCCTCCTCTCTGACTGCTCCTTCTTAGGGCCCTTTCTGAGGTGCACTTCCTCTGCGTGTATCTTAAATGCTGGACCCTCTGCTCTTCTCACTCTACTCAGGCTTCCTGAACACCTTCATCCATCTCCACCAGCTTTCTTTACACCATTGATGTTGACGTCTCCTGTATTCAACTCCTCTGTAACAAATTAACGCAAACTTGGTGGCTTAAAACAACACATTTATTCTCTTACAATCCTGGAGGTCAGAAGTCTGAAGTGAGTTTCACTGGAGTGAAGTCAAGGTAGCGGCAGGGCCACACTCCCTCCAAATGCTCTAGGGGAGCATCTGTTTCCTCACCTTTTCCAGCTTCTAGAACTGCATGCCTTGCATTCTTTGGCCTGTGGCCAAGTTCCTCCATCTTAAAGGGCATCTTGCTTCTGTGTCATATTACCTTCTTTTCTGTGGTCAAATCTCCCTTGATCTCCAACTTATAAGCACGTTTATGGTTACATTTTTGGCCCACCCAGATGATCCAGGATAATCTCCCCATCTCAGGAACCTTAAATTAATCACATCTGCAAAATTCCTTTTGCCATATAAGATAACATTTACAGGTTCCAGGGATTAGGACCTGGGTATCTTTGCAGGCCATTACTGAGCCTACCACATTTTCCAAGGCTGAAGATCTACGTATCCAACCATTTATAGGATGGTTTCATGTGACTCTCTTACAGACAGTCTCTACGTCCAAAACCGAACTGGGCATCTTGTACCTCCCTTCTGGTCCCAGCTCCTTCACTGTCCCTGTCTTGGTGGAAGGCACCACTGTGCACTCCCTGAGGATTATCCTCCCCAACTCCTTCCACCAACTTACACTCAATCGTTATCACTACCTCCTGAATGTCTCACAAATATAGCCACCTTCTCCAGCTCCTGGCCAACCCCAGTCCAGGCCACACTATCTCTTACCTCCTCACCAGTCTCTCTGTGCCCAGTCTTGCATATCTGATCTGTTGCTCCCCTGATTAGAACTCTTCAATGGCCCCCATTGCTCTCTGGATGAAAGGCAAACTTTTTTCATGGCTACCTGGTCCTGCATGATCTTTTGCTCCTGCCGTTTTCATTTTCTTCCTTACCTCTCACGCCTCCTTTCCTGCCATGAGCCAAGCTCTCTCATTATTCTTCCTTCTGCCCATAACACTCCCCGACCTCCTTTCAACTGCTCAAATTAGTTGTCAGTTCCTCCAGGAAGCCTTCCCCAATGTCATTCTTGGAACTCCCACAGGACCCAGTATCCCCTGCCCCAGCACTTCTCACTGAGAACTGCAATCACCTGTTTGCTGGTCTGGGTCTCTGGCCCACTTATTTATTTATTGAGCACTTACTATATACTAGTCACAGTGCCAAGGACTATACAAGCAATAGCTCACTCAATATCCACAACAACCCAAGGAGTCGGGGAACATTATTCTTCCCATCTCTGTGTTATAGGTGGGAAAACCAAGGCTTAGAGGGGTTAATTTGTATAAAGTCAGAATGAAAATATAACCAAGATTTCAACCAAAGTCTGCATGACTCCAAAGCTTTTGTTTTATTATTAAGCACCAAACTATGCCACCTAACTAGAAAATATTGCCTCTTATAAGTAGATATACATGTTCCATATATTCTCTCCTATAATTAAAACATGCCACCAACCAGAGGCAGAATACTATCATAATATCTTGCAGGCTAACAAATTATTACTATTTTGTAAAGCAAATTCTTCAATGTCAAATCCTCTATCAGATACTCAAACCAAGAGACACATACTGCTGAGGATGGGCCACTTTCTGAAGCATAATTTTTATTTCAAGACTTCTGGGAGAAACCGAATAATAAATGGTAAGTAAATTACAGTATTATTTGGAAATAAGATAAACCCAGAGCTATATCAGGGTAGGTTGCAAAACTTTTAGGAATTTTTAGAGAAAACATGTGCCTTCAAGGAAATTTCAGTTGCTTCTAGGTATTTCCCCAGACCATCCCACATAAACATTCACTTTACTAAGGCTATTTCAAGGAAAGAATTTGAGACACACTACTTATAAAATTGCTGTTTCTAAGTCCCTGGACCAACCAGTGCAAATCCAGCTCCCTGGAATTCACTTGTTCACTCAATAAACATTTATCAAGCAGTTCTAGGTGTATTCCTGAGTGGAAAATGACAACTGGGGAGGCTTTGGATACAAAGGTGGGCAAGATATGGAGCAGTTCTCAGGGAACTTGTACCCAAACAATCATACAATGCAAATTATAAATGCCCTTAACGAGGTATTAGGGAATTAGGGGTGGGGAGGGGACAAGAGTCCTTTCCCTGTCTGGCTCAGGGAAGATGGGGCAGCTTCAGAGAAGAACGGCACCTGAGCTGAGCCCTGAAGGATCTGAGGGAGTTGGGACAGAATGAGCGAAGAATAAAACAGTACAGAAAAGTCCATTCCCATCAGTGTGGGAGCGGCTGGGCCCGTGAGGAATGGCCGCTGAGCCTGCGCGTCCGGAGCCTGTGCTCTGCAACGGGAGAGGCCACAACAGTGAGAGGCCCGCGTACTGCAAAAAAAGAGTAAGAATCCCAGTGTTTGATGTACCTAATGCAAATACTCTCTTTTAGCTTCATAACATTTATTTATTTTTATTATTATTATTTTAAAATTTATTTATTTAATTAATTTATTTTTGACTGTGTTGTGTCTTCATTGCTGTTTGCGGGCTTTCTCTACTTGTGGCGAGCGGGGGCTACTCTTCGTTGCGGTGCGTGGCTTCTCATTGCAGTGGCTTCTCTTGTTGCGGAGCACGGGCTCTAGGCACGCGGGCTTCAGTAGTTGTGGCACGCGGGCTCAGTAGTTGTGGCTCGTGGCCTCTAGAGCGCAGGCTCAGTAGTTGTGGCACACGGGCTTAGTTGCTCCAGGGCATGTGGGATCTTCCCGGACCAGGGCTTGAACCTGTGTCCCATGCATTGGCAGATGGATTCTTAACCACTGCGCCTCCAGGGAAGCCCTGCTTCATAACTTTTAAAATAGAACCTCTTAAGATAGCTTCTCTTTATTTCTGCCTGCAACCAGTAGTATAGAGTCTGGAGCAGCTGCTTGGACAACTGTTCACTGGCATCATTGGATTATTGTGCTTGATTTTGGGTCATGGGTAAACTGCCATCTGTCAAGAGGAGAATCCAGGATGTTGCTGGG